GCTTGTTGAGTAGGTGCCGCTCGGAGAACACTTAGACCTCCATGGCCAGTAGCAACAGGAATCGTTGATAGACTAACGATTGTGGCTGGCGTTGTAACCGTACCTGTAATTAAGGTTTGCGTTGGTTGTTGGGAAGGCACCGGTGCTGAAGCTGCTACAGCATTCACGGAAGATTGTGTGGACGGTGGAGCAGTGGCGGCGTAAACTTGCTGAGGCTGAGCCTGAATGATGCTAAGAGTAGGAGTAGAGGTTGGTTGGATGGAGCTGACTACTGGTGTCCCAACCATTACAGATACAGCAGGCTGTGAATGAGCGTCTGCTGATTGAGCGTGCCCATTTGCAGGAGCGACTGCTAGAATCGTCCCCGGATGATGTGCGCGAGGATCAACTGTGCTCAAAATGGTAGTATGACCCGGAAACGCGGAGACTGGAACAGAACTAGCAGCCAGTTGCTGTGCAGATGAACTAGTTTGAGGGTCAGTAGCTGCCAAAACTGATATATTAGTTTGAGTACTTGGAGGCCCAGGAGCTTGAAGCGCTTGTGAGGCAATAACAGTAGTTTGATGGCTAATAGGATGCACGGCTGCTGTCAGCTGATGGGCATGCAAAGAAAGCAAGGTTGCTTGCGTCGCCTGTGAGTCAGTTGAGAAACCCTGGGTCACTTGAATTGGCGTAGAGCCTGCCGATTGTAATTGAGCAAAATGTGTACCAATGGGAGGAATTTGATGCCCAGTAGGTGGAATTGCTTGAGGGACATATCCTGAAACTTGGTGATGATGCTGAATGATGTGCTGCTGTTGATAGCGCTCGTAATCATCAACCACCATATGCCGAAATTTGCAGACACCAGCGCGATGACACCCACCATTCAAATAATCCTAAGATCAATAGAAAAAGTATTTAAGGAAAATCTAGACATAAAGGCTTTGAAAAAATGTAGGTCCAAATAATTTAGTTAAGGTAAACACAATAAATATATGGTTAAGCCAAGACTACTTTGCAAACAGGAGGACCGCCGTCAAGCACTTCAGATGAGAATGCAGGCAAGCTCAAGCCATTTATGGAAGCAGAAGACCAAGACGATTGACCAGGGAGGACTCCAGTGATACGATAAACCTCCTCGGCCTCACGACTGCAATGAAGAAATTTGCAAGCTGGTCGATGGCAGGTACCATTTTGGAAATCATGACAAAAAGTTGCTTCTTCACGGCCAAGTCTGGATTTGATTGATCGCGATATGGTGGTGGAATAAAAACAGATGATGCCGGGGTTGGGCCACAAATAAATAGTAGCGGTCAGGGCTTCGAATTAGCGAATCAACGAAGGTGAAAAATAAACAAATATAGGATTCAAACTAACCTTAACTTTTCACATTCCTGCTGTGGAGGGTGGATATATCTACACCTGCGACCTCTCTTACATACATTACGAAGGTAGTCACGACAGACACCTTCCAATGGAGACTTGTGAGTAGATTGTAGATGATCGCTTTTTTCCCCTTCGATCAGAGAATCCGATTCAGATTTCATTGTATATAAGCAAAAAAGGTGCTACAAAGAAGCATCTCAATCACAAGATAAATTAAGCAGGAGGAACGACAGCAA